CCATTCAAGGTGGTTTCCTAAGATACCCCTAAATCATCTGGTTGGTCGTTTGGAATATTGTTTATTTTTCCATTCAGTTGGGAATAATCATCCCAACTGACGTTCATATTTTTCAGATGGGATTTTCCAATGGAAATAGACCAACCAGCCAGCTATCGGGGTACCCCCACCGCAGGAAACCCCCCATTATTCATCAGGGCAGAGCATAAGATCCACCCAGAGAGTAAAACCCGCCAGGAGTTTGCAATAGAAAATCCTCCTGATTTGTTTGAGGGTTGTGTTATCATATACATATACATATATATATAATTATATACATATCAATTCACATATATATATATATTCATGTATTTACATACACATATATTTATATATAATACATATAATATATATATATATATATATTTGTACATATTGGGCAATGATTCGTGAATGGTCTCTGTTTCTAGCTTGAAACGGAAGAACATACATCGTGTACAAGTTTCCCTTTTCTGGGAACCCAGGTTACAGTAGCCATGATACAAAATGCTCGGTTGACGTTGGTTGAATCATGAAGGTTGGGATTTGACCACACCAGAACCTTTAAGCCAAAGTAGACGCATACATACAGCATAGCAGTCAGGGTTGCTCCAACGTTTCCCCGGTTCTATTTCGATCTATTTAGTGTCTTGAAAGCAGCCAGTCATTGCCGACAGATATGGCGGTGGGAAAAAAAGACGTCCCTTATTCCGTAATCTGACATGGTTTGTTGGACAATTTCACATATTCTTCCATTTTGGTCGCAAGGAGACGCCCGCCGAAGTGTGGCCAGCCGCAAGTCTTATACCGATGATGGAGGCATCACATGCGCTGCGATGTGGGAATGATATTGGGGAGATATATTGGGGATATGTGGAATCAGTTATCAGCAACAAAAATAGAGAGAACATGGGAATATTATGGGAACCCACCTCTTAAATAGCAGTAATCCATCCCCCTGATACTAAACACCCCCATTCTATGGTCATGAATATGTGATTTCATCCCTTACTAAGCCATGGTTTCTAGGGGGTGTTCAATATGAGCCGCGGAAGGGATCCATGATTTTTAGTTGATGCAACTGGCCAAACAAGCCAATGGCTTGCCCTTCGGTCATCAAACATGGCTGGGAAAATCCTCATAATTCCTTTACATGTATGAGAAAATCATTTGTAACCGGGATGTTAGATTGCCATGTTTGGAGGGTAAAATTCTTTTCAATCCCATCGCAAGTGTCTCTTTGAACACCAGAAAGATATGGAGCCAACATGCCATGGGCATGTTTTCTTTTGGTGTTGAGATTCCGAACCCCTGGTGTTTTGTACATTTTGACTTGGAAATGTGCTTCGCGCCACACGGCGTGCACTTTTTTGACATCTCAACTTCCAAAAGTGGTCTGAGACCGCCAGTTTTTAACACTTTTGACTTCGAAATGTGCTTCGCGCCACAACGGCGCGCAATTTTTCATCGCTCCTGTGGCCAGCTGGCTCCGCACCCGCCGCTTTAGCGAGCCTACTTTTCGACCCTCCGGAGCCACAAATCATTGGAAAAACACAGTGTTTCGCGACTTTCCTACCTTTTCGCGCATCTGTATCTTCTGTCTTCTTACTCTTTCTCTTCTGATCTTCTCTCTTCTAATCTTCCTCTTCTCTCTGCCTCTGCCCTGCTCTGCTTTTCATCTCTCCATATTGTCGGAAGTTTGACTTCTAAACTTCCTTCGATCATTTTATATGTTATGTGTTGTTTTTGTTTGAAATTACCCAATATCAAATCAGTGTCCTATATTTTTGGTGTATGTTGACATTTTCATAGCTTGATGCTTTACACCTTGATGCATGTCACTTTATAGCATAACATATCAAATATTGATACATTACGGCGTCACATTCATGTCATATGTTTTTGTATGTTCATTTCAAATTATAAACTATATACATCAAATTACACTGTGCTGCTGCATACCAAATAATAATGTCATGTCATTCATTGCATGTCACATTTCTCTTTGCATTTTGTTTGTTTCCGTATCACAAAAGAGCATAAACACACATTACATCATATTATGGTATATAGTTGTGTTTTCGAACATGTAAAATCACATTGCATCCCCGACTCTTTGCATTTTTTGGGACGACATGTCCAGGTTTCTTGTCTGAAGCAGTCAGGTGATCGGTTTGAGCGTCGATCCACGCGAAAGTCTACCTTTGAGGATGCAGGCGTTGCTGCGGCTGCCAATTCAATGGTAAAACGGATGGGTCTGTCTGCATTATGACGACGTCACTGTGGTACCACTGGACTGATGGTTTGCAGGGAATCATCCACATAGCTGGCCTGGTTATGTGTCTGAAAATGCTGTAATGGCCATGTTGATCGGGATAATCATGATTACTGTAACCAATATAGGTTTAGGTGCTAACTTTCCTCTTTGGATCTTAGGCAGAGTCAGATATTCATAGGAAATGCCTACGTCTCCCGAAGCTCAAACCCGGGTACTCATGTTACTCATGTTACTCATGTTCACATAAATGACATAAATTGCTTCATTATAGTTCCCAGCCCAGCCTAGTGCCGACTTTGTTCCAATTTGTTTTCATTTATCCAATTGATTTAAGTATTTCAGTAGTGCAAAAGGATTCAAAAGCACGTTGCCGCCATATTGGGTTTATTGGGGCAATGTTGTTTCAAAAGCATTGCTGAGCAAGCAAAACAACCACATTAGCGTTAATTTATTTCACCCAACATATGATGTATGTATTCTGTCAAGTTTGCAATTTCAACATGGGAGCATTTTTCTTTCAATTTTTTCTTTCCGTTCAATTGCATTTATGAAATGTTCATAAGAAGTCATAAAATATTTTTTTGTTTATAAATTTCCATAAATTTTCATAAATTTTCATATTTTACATAAACTTGATAAATTTTCATAAAATTTCATAATTTTAATTAAATTTCATAATTTTCAGAAAATTTTATAATTTTCATAAATTTTCATAAATTTTCATAAATTTTCATAATTTCATAAATTTTCATAAAATCTCTTTAGTTAGGAAAAAAAACTATTTAAAAAAAAACATAAATTTGAACGCTGCCACTGCCAGCCAATTATGATTTGTAAAAAACTAACCAACACGACAAACAAACTTGGACGCGTTTGGACGTTTGGACTTGCTTTGTTTTGTGGATGCGGGGTTCCCGCTTCACTTCATTGTTGTTGTTTCAACTTTTTTGCGGATGCGGGTTCCCGCTCCATTGTTTTTCTGTCTATTTGGAATTTGGAATCACTGAATCACTGGAATCCAATGCAGCATTGGTTGTTAAGTTGTTATGAATCAGTTTTGTGGCTCAGTGGTTTTCACCTTGGCTTGGCGCTGTGTGCCCCATTCCGTTACGTTCCTTTTTTTGCAATGTTTTGCCCGTACTGCAAAGAAGTTCAGTGCAAAAAGCTTTGGACGCCTTCTCAATGGGCTGCATGTGAGCCAACTTTGGGAAACGCTGACGGATGCAAGCGTTGCAATGTGATGCAGGAGGCCGACCAGCTGAGGCTTATGGAGTCCATTGAATGGCGTATGTGGTATATCGCAGAACCAGCCTTTCAATCCAACTTCAATGCCCTTGCGAAGCAGGTTCATGAAATGCCTCCTGCAGACAAGGAACGTCTTCATGATGGTTACCACATTAATTCTGCTCAGCCCCAATGCGGGGAAAAAATTACAGGGAGAATCTTTATGATTACGGCCCCTGGATTTTGCAATGAGTTGCATGTGAGTAATCTGAACACAGCAGCCAAATTGCTGGAGCAAACGCAACAGCATGCTTTCGAGGTGAACCACCTGTGCTACCAGCAAATCCGAGACATCATGGAGTTGACCCACTACCTGGAATTGTACCTGACAATGCCAATTCCAGCAGGACTTGGGCCATTTTTTGATGTTTGGAGAAGATATACACAATGAAGACTTTGAGGTTTGAAGGAAGCGACCCAAGTTCCAGCTTCAACCAGAGGACCTTGCAGAAAGGATTGGGTTGCAATGGTGGTAGTTACAAGTTACAGCTGCAGCTACAGAGTCGGTTACTGCGATTCTACTTTTTCAAGAAGAAACCGGCTTCAGTGGCAGCGAGTCAGCGAGAGCCTAGGAATTTTGATTTTGATTATGGCCTAAAGGGCTGAATGATCATTTCAACGGAATTTGGAATTGAAACCCGTTTTGATCCGAACCGTAGATCTTGGGGTTGCCTAAGGCACTTAGAGTTTTCAACTAATAGGGAGTGTAGGAAAACAGGACAAACTCCCGCTGCAAGAAAGGAGGCAGTGACCGGGAAGGCAAGTGTTTTTATTGGAGAGCAAGGAAACACAAAAAAAAACAAATTGTTTGTTGGTTGAATTGATATGATTATTTTGGGTAAGGTTTAGTGGTTGGACCGCCGATCGATTCAATCAATGGGCATGAGTTTTGAAATTCAGAAAAGATGAACATGTCTTCTGGCGAATATTTTTCTAGAAAGGAAAATTCAAGCAAAACAAAACAATGTGTTTGCAGAAAGGAACATATAATATTGTTATCTTATGCCATGAGAGTTGAGCGGTTTGACCGCCAAACGATTCATATGTGAGAATCTCTTTCAACATAAAACAAATAAATTTGTTATGACTCTGAAATGTCACTATAGCAACTTACACATTCAGTGGTTGTGAGAAACTGCAACATTGTTCAATTTGTTGATTCTATTTGCACTTGCAGCTTTCGCTCGCGGAGTTGAAAAAAATGACAGTGCAAAGAATATCCTTGGATCACATTTTAAATTAATACAGTTCATTTTGTTTTTGTATTGTACGGTTTTGCACAGTTTTGCAACAGACATTGACACTTATGACACTTACCAAGGCTTGGAGTCACCTAGGAACTTGAAACTGCATTTAAATAAAATCAACATGATCATTGTCTTTGCATTTTTGATCTTTAGGGATTGGCAATGCTTCTCCCATGTCGGACGTGGCACCGAGATTTGCCTGGGTGTGTACCCATGGAGAGTCACAGCGTTGGGGAAACAGACCAGATGGAGGATCATACAAAACAGACTGGAATTCTTGTAGCTTGGCACGGGTGGACGATGTGAACGCCGACAGAGATGCGGGTCTTCATTTAGCAAGGGCTGTATTGCCCAAAAAATGTGCTGACCTTGTTTTGGGATTGGTTCTGGTAAAACCAGCTTTCGTTTACCATGCCCTTTGCCACCTCAGCAATGCAGAGCAGACACAGCAAACTTTTTGGGCATCTGTCTTTGGCAACTCATTGCATGGAAAGTTATATTTTTTTGCACGGGAACCAGGAACACCAGCATTTGCTTTGAGTGAGCCAGTGAACATGCCGATAGTGGACAAAAGAAGGCTGAAAACCTTTTTCGGATTGTTGGATGTTGGAGCTGGCATTGACTTGTCAAACCTTCTGGAGAAAATTTTGCCGCAAGATATGATGCCCATGGCGTCGCAATGCCAATTTTGTGCGCGTTTGCCGGCGTACTTTGCTTGGGAACTGGTAAGTGGACACACCAGTTCTTTCGCTTTGCCAGATCCAGATGTTGAGGATTTGTTTCACAACTCCAAACGCATGCGATCCCGAATGGTTGGCTGGTCACATTGGCCTGGAAGTTTTGATGCTTTCGAGCCACCGCCTTTTATGGACCAATCAGAAGATTTTTCTTCAGAAAGTGCTGGTCGAATTGCAGGCTTGATCAGGTCTTTGGCTTCAAGGATTCCCAGAGATGAAGATGATGCAGAAACGTTCCAGGAGTGTAGCTTGGCAGTGAATACATTGTTGCGGGTGCGAGATGAGCTTAGCACAGAAGGTCTTCACCAAGGTGTTGTGCAGCTGCAAGGACGCGTGAGTTCTGCAAAGCGGCTGCCTTATCAAGCTGCTTATCTAATCAAGACATTGCTTGTTTGCAACCATTTACGGGATGCTTCAGATTTAAAAAAAGTTCTTCGCAGAGCAATCGAAATGGTATTGCCAAAGTCTTTGACGCAGGAAATCATTGCAAAGTTTTTTCATCCTCGCCATGCGCCAAAAATTCCAAGCGCTTCAAGCATCACACGTGCACGGTTTATACTGGATGTGGCGCTGATGCTTTTCAACAGAGAAAGGAATTGCAAAGAAATTGACAGACAGCAGGAAACAATTCGCTTTGCAATGGTAGATTCATCTGTCCAAGGACACTACAACTTGGAGCTTTTGCGTGTTGTGTCTGTTGACAGTTCAGAAGTTGTGGAATTGTTTTTGGATGCGCAGCAGTGCTTGACAGAATCAGAGAGATTTACCAGTGATGTGTTTGCTGGAAGAGTAGATCCTGTGGTGTGGCTGTTGTATATGGAAGCAGAGGAGCAAAGAATGTTGAACATGAACTCCCGCATGCGCTTGGACTTATTTCCAGCCGTTGCACTGGGGAACCAGCAGCTGTATCACAAATTTCACGCAGTTGCTCATTCGTTGTTTCTTGAAACAGGCAGTGCCGGTTCTTTGGCTTTGTATTCATCCCAAATCTCAGCATTTTGTACAGACCAGGGTACCGAATTTGCACTGCCAAAGATTCCAGCTGTTCCCATCCAGTCTTTGTTTGGGTTCTTGAAGCCAGGTGACGCTGACACGGATTGGGCTGATTGGGCACCTGCCATGCGCGATTTTGGAGAAGGAGACAGAGACGCCTTAACAGAACCGTGTGTCAATTTTTCACGGGCTACGGCGATTGCCGGTTTGCTTCACATAATTCACAACTCATCAGCAGACCTTGGAAAATCGATGATGTGCTGGGACACAATCACCAATCAGCTCCAACACATTTCCCGACTTTTGCGCCGAAGAGATTCCAAAACCCGCTTGATGGAGTCTTGTTTCAATGATCCAATTGGAAAAAATTTTCATGCAGACATCAAACAATTTCAGTGCAAGCTTCACACAGGTCGGTGGGGTAGCGTCTCTACTTGTATCCTGGGAATTTTGTCTGCTGCAGTTTGGTTGGGATGCTGCCAAGTACAAAGGCGGCCGTGGTGTCACTGCTCCCAATGAAGGAGAAGACTCGCACCAGTTTGGGGTTGACATTGCGGTCGTTGATGAAGCAATCAAGTCGCAACTTTTCTGGGCGCGACTGAAGATGTTGGAGTCTTTGGCAATTGTGCTTCGCAAGTGTCTTGCTTGGGCTGAAGATTGTCCCTGTCACTCAAACGGAAACGCGGTTTTGCAACGTGAAGACATCCCCAAATTATGGGCTTCCTGCCCTGTCCGGGGCTGCAGGGCTCCTGAACTTGCTGCAGGTGATTTTTTTTCAATGTTTAACGGGCATGTGGACCAGTCAAGCGCTGCTTTACTTTTGTCTTTGCCTCGCGATTTGAATCAAGGAGACAGGATGAATTTACTTCACGACTTTGAGTCTGGTAAGAACCACTTGCACTTTGTGTTCCGCTTGAGATTGGCTCATTGGAACGAGTGGCCTTGGAAAATTTATGGATGTGCCCATCCCAGCCAATTTGTTCACAAGAAGTTTATTGAGGATTGTCTTGGAGTTGGGGCTCAGCAAGTGGCCTCCTGTCCTCTTTTGCAGGAGCTTCACAGTGAGTCTGTCAGCGCAGAGGCACATGCATATTTGCTTGAAGGAGGCGAGTTCCCAAGCTACCCAAACTTGTGCCGTTTCATGGCAAAATTATTTTTTTGTCCAACTGCTGAAAGAGCTGTGGAAGGCGACCACGCGATTGTCCACAGAAAGGTTGCTCTTGCTCGAAACCACACAATAGCGTACATCAGTTCTTCCAGAAGGATGGCCACTCTCCAGGGATTGATCGATAGCGATCCGGAAAATCTCACAAAGTTGGCAAAACTGATGCACAGTGTCCACAGCCCTGCTCTTGCTTTGAATGAGTTGGGATTTGCCAATCACCCTTCCGCAGCTATCATTGGGAATTACCGGGACCCAATGCACATGAAGATCGTGTATCATGCTGACCCTGCTACCCTTTTTAGGTGTGCTCCAGATTGGTCTGACTTGATACCTCCAAGCAACCCAGATCTTTTTGCAATTCAGGACAGCAATGGTACCGGTGGCAAAGCCGATGGCGATAACCTGGATCCAAGAGATGAAAAATCGTCTGCACTGGTGGCCTATCAGGGGGAGAGCTCTCGATCGCAGGAGATTGTGAGACGTTACATTTTGCAATCAATGAAAGTTTGGCTTCGGGATGACCAGGACAAGATTGCAGCCGAGAATTGCAGGTTTGTGTATTCGTTTCCTTTTTGTCCAGCTGCCATCAAATCACTTGGGATAATTTTTGACAATACAGCACTGAAAAGAAGCCTGTCGCAAAGTGGAGTTTTGTTTGCGCAGATTTTGAGGACTGGAGTCGGAGACATCAAAGTTCCACATCCGAATGATTTCAATCGCAGCAATTTGGCAGTGGTGTTTCTTGAAGTCACAAAGTTTGACCAGGTTGCTGACTCTGTGATGGTAAGGAGTGATCCAATTCACATCGATGCCTCAATTCCGGAGCCTGTGACTACTGGGTCAAGCACGCCATTTGTGCTTTGCTTGGATGCCTTTCCATTAGATACACTGATGAAGATGCGAAGATGGGAGGTTGAGCCTGAGTTGAATGTGTCAATCAAATTGGCTGATGGGATGGATCCTGATATCTATGGGACGCCGTATTGCTCAAAGTTGTTGGCTGATCTTTTGGCTGAAGGTAGCTTCTTTCTGCAAGGAAATTCTGAGGGTTTTGATGTCAAGCAGTCAATTTTGACAGACATGCGAAACAGAGGTTTGACAGAGCAAGATGACAATGCCGGATGGGCCTTGACTTCGGACGGAAGGTGTGCCGTTTCAGTTTCCTATCTTTTGAAGAAGCGGCAAAAGCTTGTGCGGATCAGAAGTGGTATCTCCTTACAAGACATGGAAACCGTTGAACTTTTGATCCAGATGCAAAATGACAAATGGAAGCCTGAGCTTGTTGACGGCAAAAAGTCTGACATTGCCAAGAAATTCTATGTACATGATGAGTCGGAAAAAATATGGTACCAACCTGGCGGCAAAGATTCTGTGTGCCGTGAGTATTTGATTTTGCTGCTGACTGCAAGCTCACACTTGCAACCGGTGCCTCATTTGCAGCCTACCGAGGTATATTTGAAACTTCTTGGAAAAGAAACGAAGTCTAAGAAACGAAAAAGCACACTGCTTTTTGTCGGAGATGAAGATATATGGTTTGATGAGCAGCTTGCAAAACCGTCATCAAGAAGAGTAACAGCCGTAGAGAAGAAACCCAGAAAAACTCTTTTGGAATCCTTGCAAGATGTGGATGCAGATCAGCTACAGGGACGGCTTACTGATTCAGGCACTGGCAGAGCCGGCAGCATTGGTGTTGTGCAGCCAGCCGATTGTAGTGGTTCTTCAGATTCCTCAGACAGCAGTTCTCCAGCAGCTTCAGCAGGCAAGCTATCCGCAAGATCTTCTTCAGCTGGCTCAGGAGCAGGTCAGAATGATTCAGAGTCAGAGTCTGGCGATTCGACTCGCTCATCTACATCGTCGTCATCTTCAACGTCTGGACCAAATAATCCTAGCAGTTCCAAACCTGAATCCAAGAGTCAGAAGCAAGGTGCGACGAGAAGGGATCGTAATTCTGAATACTGGGGAGCTTTCAGATTCACACCTACCAAAACTGGATGGCAATGCACTTGCTCCAGTCATGAGAGTGATGGCAAGGCACATTGCACAAAGACAAGATCAAGCAATGTAATGGGAAGCGAAATGGCCCTGCGGATGCTTAAAACTTGGGCTCTGTGGGGAAAAGATGCTACTTCAAAGGACGACCACCAGCAGCGGATTTGGAAGAAAGTTTGCGACGCTCAGAAAAGCAATACTCTGCCTTCCATTGAAAGTTTGGACAAGCAAGTTTAAAACTTGTAACTTGGAAACTGACTGATACTCTGAGACGCTGTGGATGTGTGAAAAAGAATGTGTTGTGGGTCAGGAGTCAGGAGTCCTCAGGAGTCAGGAGCTGATTGGCGGCGAGGTTGATCTATCTATTGGAAAATCTACCCACTTTGAGTCTGGGAGTTGGGTGATCTGCATTTTTGTTTGAAACTTGTGGGATTTCTACAGCATAATTGGTGATTTTGTGGTTTCGTTGAATTTTGGGGCCATTTTGGGGCTTGCTCAGAAATGCGTGTTTCAGTTTCGAGGAATTTCGAGCAATTCGAGCTTACAAGTTTATGAAAATTCATAAAAATCATAAAAATCGTATGCCACAATAATAAAGATTGATCAAAAGACAGAACATTGTGGTTGGGTGCTGATTCAAGTTTGATGTACCTATGACTATGACTATGACTACGTATAAATTTGTTTGTTTGGATCATGTATGTTGATGCTTAGCGGTGTGACCGCAAGCAGAAAAATGATATGTTTTTCCATTTGATTCTGGGGCTCATCAGCCTGTGATACTGCAGAATATCGCAACAAGGTTCAAGTGAAAGGTAGGCTATAGTGGTTTTTATTGATGAGTTGTTGGACTTTCACGTGGGTAAAATATTTCAATTTTAAAACGTATGTGACAACATCAAATTACAAACAGTTATGAATTTGATGAAACATGTATGTAATATGTGAACGTTTAGCTATATCTTATCTGAGGAAAATTGTTCATTTTCAATTTTGGAGTACAAACAAAAGATATGATGATTTGCTCAGGGTCGCCATCAGGTATCAGCTCACAAGTCATGAATATCACCTCTGAAGTCACAGTATATATGTTTGTTCAACGTAGAACAACCAGTCAGTGGCCTTCTATTGCCGCCATTGCTACAATGTCGGGATCTGAAGCAGCGTCAGATGCCACCAAAAAGACAGGTGACAGTGATTCAGAAAGCATTGCCGTCACGGTGGAAATCAAGGTGAGGTCATTGAAAAAGGCAGTGAAGCAAGCCATGAAAAAAAAAGGCCAAGAAAACACGAAAGTCAAAGAAGAATAAGAAGAGCAAAGGATCCCATAAGGAAACGCGCAATCGTGGACCCTGCAATCAACGATCCAGAACAGTTTCTCCTGAGAGAACACGCTCCCCGTCACCTTCGAGGACCAGATCACCATCAAGGTTCGGTAGGGCTGAAACATTTTGAGATTACAGTTGTGAGTTCAATCTAATGTTCAACAAGGGATGTTGTTTTTGTCAATGATTGCAGGTTTCCAACCGTGGTGCCTGATGCGGCTGCGACCGGGCAAAGCCAGTTGCAGCGACAGGATGCCCAGTGTTTCTTGGTTCACAATATGTGTCAAAGTCTTTTCACAGTGACAGTACAAACGTACATACATATCTTTACCATTATATATATATTTGTATATATATATATCAATCAAATTTGTTTTCAACTTGGTCATGATTGATGCCATGGCAAGGTTTTGATCGATATGCAAATGCAGAGATGGAGACACTTGGAGAAAATGATCAGGGAGTGTGATGACAGTATTTTTGTTTTGGTTTTGACATATGGACAGCGTAGCACATCTGAATGTGGAATTATTTTTTTGTTTTCGATATTCGATGGTGTTGGGTTGGAAAGCTATCATATTTCCATCAGTTGTGGTGTAGCTTCCTGAAACATTTGCACCCAGTGAGTAGGTTCAATGTACAGTAAACTTCAATGTACAGTGGATTTCAATGTAACATTCTAAAAATTTGCAGATGAGTCTAAACTGTTTGTTCTGAGGAAAGCAGCAGCACCGGCGGCACCAGCACCAGCTGAATCGGCTGGATCCGGTGAGCCTCGTGAGTCCGTTGAGATTCAGATTCTAGCCGATCTTCTATCAGCAGATTCTCAAACCAAACCTGCTGGTGCCACCGTCACCACCACCACCAATGAGATCCATCCAAACATATCAGAACCGAATCTGGACCTGAAAATGTCCTGGTGTATTTTCAGCGATATGGTTTATATGCATGTTTTTTTCGAAGTTTTCTGATTGCGCAAATGTACCATAATCCAAGGACCTCTTCTTTGCCTCCTGGGCCTACTGGTACTGGTGATTCAACTGGTCATGTGGCAAGTCCTGCACCGGTTGATGTGGAGATAATGTCACTTGTCTAAAATATAGACGGCTTGGGATCATGTTGAGCTCGGCTTTGACTGCATGTTTGCGAGTTTGTGCACTTGTACAACATGTTGGTGGAAATAATTCTTTGTTGTAGTGAGGCCACCGGGTGCATGTGCAAAGTCCAGACCTTCCTGCAGAAGAGTGCTCCTTGCCAACAAATCAAATTTACCTCTGGAATTTGAAAAGATTTGACTTGGAGAGAGTAATCAGTTCAACCGGAGGGTAAGCATTTTGTTTTTGAGGTCAAACCGGGAAGACTATAGGCAGAAACATGGACATGATAAGCCACGAGGAGCCCGAAAGCCAAGACAAAAAAAGAAACTCGGGCTGAACTGGCATAACTACTCATTTTAGATATTTTAGTGCGCTTTGAGTATGGTTAATATTTGGTTGGGATTGGTTGGGTAAATTGATTTCCATATGAAAAATCAAGAAATATTCATTGAGTATTGGGTATGTTTATGATTTTTTCGTAACATTGTTTTTATGATTTTCATAATTTTATGAAAATGAAAATTATGAAAATTATGATTTTCATAATTTTCAGACAATATATATTTAAAAGGAAAATTAGTATTTTTATAAAAATTTCATAATTTTCATAATTTTCATAATTTTCATAATTTCATAATTTTCATAATTCTATTATGTATGAAACATTACATTTTATGAATACTTGGTTGTTTGCAACATATTTTCGACCTTGCCCAGGACATAAGAGCTTGCCTGCAAAGCAGATCGTCGGCTGCGAATAGACCAAGAGTACTGCAAAAAAAAGTTTTGGGCAAGCTTGGAAATCATATTCATTGGGACGTTAGTTTTTTTGTTGACTTTCGTGCATTTGATTGACTATTGCTGGCGGTAAACCGCAGCAGTTTTTGGTTTTATGGATGTTTTTGGTTATGGTAATGATAGATGCTACTTGTCTAGTCTAGCGGTTTCACCGCAGACAAGTTTAAATGTATTGGTATTCTAAAACGTACCATTTCATGTTTGATATGGATGTGCGTTTTGTGTTTTGGTTTTTCTGTTTGTTATTATATGTTGTCGTTAGTTGCATCTCAGGTTGTGTTTACCACCAAGCGCATTGTGTTTTGCATGGGTCAAATCAATGAAGATTTTGCAGTATAGTACGGTTTGCAGGAAAGCACTGCAAATTAACCTTTACAGCCTCAGCTTCTTGCCCAGCAAGTTTAGTTTCGGCCATGCCAAAGCGACCTGGTGCCAAGGAGGCCTGCAAGCCAAAGGCGAAGGCTAAGACCTCTTCGTCTTCGATCTACATCAGCCAAGGCCCAGTCGATGAGTGAGGAGGAACTGCTCGAGCATCGCAATTTGCATTCGAAACTTACCTACAGATCCAAGTGCGGAATGGATGGGGCCGAACAGGCCCTTCAGCAGTTGAAGACCAATAGGCAGATGGTGCTGGAGAAATTTCGCGGTGATCGCACTATGTCATGGGTTCCAAGTAGCTTGATATTTTTAAATCCATACGCTGAGTCACAAGTAGCTTGATTTTCTTAAATCCATACGCTGAGTGATTATTCATATGTTTTTCTTGTCGAGTTTTTGCTGGATTAGGCATGGTGCATGCGCAAGAGTCGGCCCACGTCAATGAGTTCAACAAGACTGCTGAGTGGCTCAACCAGTTCCAGATCATGACCAAGATTGGGGTGACTCCGGAGCAGGTCAAAGTTGATCCAGTCGCTCAAGCCCTTTTGAAAGCCACGTTGGAAAGCTTGCCTGTGAGGGATCATGAGATCCAAGCCCTTGCTCAGCAGAATATGAAGCAGTATGAGTGGTCACACGAGACGTCAAAGGAGTCCGTTTTGTCCAAGGAGAGCTTGGGAGTCATAGCCACAGGTTGTGCTGCAAGTGCTCCCAAGGCAAAGGCAGTTGCAATGACTGGTGCTCCAACTGGAACTGCACCAGTGACCATCAACTATGGGGTTGCTTGCAAAGGCTTCCGAACCCAGATGACGAAGTGCATCAAGGAGTTGGAGAAGTGGTCTTCAAAGCTGAGGATCCTTGATGTATTGTTTTTTAGCCGGTGCAGAAATTAGTGGTTGCAATTGCATCAAATTTGAAAACAATGAATGAGCGCGCAAGGATTTTCAATCAATCAGGTAAGCCTGATTTGTTCAATGACTTTTGAATATTTTTTCGATATTGAACGGTTGTGACTCAGCAATTGCTACCATGGTTTCATTTCATGTGGTTCAACCTCCTTCCAAGGAAGTTGCGCCCTCAGATTCCCAACAAGGACGCAGAGAACCAACAGCTTGTGGAGGACTCCAAGAAGTGCGAGCACAACATTGCCGAAAGCTTGGATGCTTTGACCTCCGCATTGTCAGACCATCCTACTGGTGGAGATGAAGATACTTACAACACCCTCAAGCTGGTTTTGGATGGTGGCCTTTCCATCAAATCCAGTGCAGAGAAGATCGAAGCAGCAGCAACGCATGCTGTGGACAAGCAGTTTGATGAAGACTTGGCGGAGGCTGTTGAAAAGGCCCAGGAGAAAGATGAAAAGGACAAGCTGAACCAATCTGGTCCTTCGGATGCAAACAAAGGTCCTGGTGATGAAGGAAACAAGCCCGTTGAGAATGGCAAAGGCACTGCTGACGCTGCTTAGTTTTTCCTTTACAGCTGATGGAGAACATTTTGTGCGCATCTGACGCTTCGAAGATTTTGGCCGTGTACCCGTACTGGTTCTTTGATGCCTATGCCAGATGAACGTCAGCAAATTTACAGATTACTTGCAGTTTGCCCATATGAAGTGGACTATGCTCAGTGGCTGCACCGATGCCACTTTGATGCGATGCTAGTGAAAAAATCCAGCAGTCTAAGATTCAAACTGATTCAGATTGCATCATTTTTTTGAGTAGGTGGTCTCGGGATTCTTTCCCTCGAGGCAATGTGCATAGGCGAGGTTGATAGGGCTGTATATGTCTTTAAACATTTTCACTGAAATTTCGAGCTTAGGGATTTCGAGCTTATGATCTCTCATTTCGAGCTTGTGAGCTTTATTTCGAGCAGCTCCGATCAGTTTTGGGTTCAATTCAAAAATCCCAGAAATCCAAAAAAATATCATTTCGTTCAGGTGAAATAATGCCAACATTGTTTACAAACTATTTTTTCCTTTAGGACGCTGGACGCTCTTGTCCTTTCCGGTTGTTTGACGCGATGGACTTTGATGATGAATGTGCAGATGAAGAGCTACAGCTGGCGGGAAATGACCATGATGATCCACCGCAACAGGAAGATGCATCCAGGAGGAAGAGACGACGATTCACTTCGAACTCCGGAAGCGGCCGAGATGCTGTGAAGACTTGTTTTGTGGCATCATGCAGCGAAACGTGCGCCAAGGGAAAGAAGTGGTGTGCAACCCACAACAGATTCTATGATTCGATGAGTTACCATGCCAAAAAGAACAAAGAGACCGAGATATTCAACCAAGTCATGGGTGATGCACTTGAAGCTGACCGAGCATTCAAGCGATTCATGGACGACAATCCTGATCAAGGAAGGTGGTCCCGGAAGAAGTTCATCGAGTGGAGCCAGTTCAAAAAGGAGCACTCTTTGTCATTAGTTCACACTGACCGCCGTGGCGCCAAGCCGTTTGAGAAGTCCCAATGGATTCAGCGGGGATTGAACAAAATGGGATGGAGCAAGCAACAATGTATAAACGAGTGGGAGAAGCAATTAAAGGATGCTTCTGTGAAAAGGGATACCTTGGGTATTGACGGATCACTCCGCCTTTGGATCGGGGTTGTAGAGATGAAGGCTGTTGATACCCAAAGGACCGGACCGACCCGTTATGGTGTGTTCGATACCAAAACATCATACATCATACTATCATACTGAAAGTATTCATTTATAAAAATGCGTTCAGATTGTTTTCTTGGCGATTGTAGATATATTATATAGTTTTGTTTTCAACAGCTATACACACTACCGCCTGCTGCGCGTAGGAAAAAATCATCTAGCCGCGTTGAAACGTCCGCGGCAGAGAAGCACTTGGGAGATGATGACCGGGAGTTGATGCTGGACCAGGTCATGAAGGGTGGCACGCCGAACGATGTTGATGATCGGTTTTTCACTGAGGCAGTAGGTCGAGAAGAAGCAGAAGGCAACAGCAATACACCAGAAAAATCCCATGTGAAGCGTGAGCCAGATGCTTCACCTGAAAAAACCGAGACGCCAGAAGGAAAAAAAAAGAAAGCAAAGATTGCAAAGCTATCCAGTGGGGCCTCTTTGTGCAGTTTCCGAGCCGGTTTGCTTGACAAGTTTGTGGAAGGTGTGAAAATTGGAACAGAGAAGATGCAACTTGCAGCTGGCAAGATCAAGGAAGCACAGGAAAAGCTATCGAAATCTCTTGGATCTCAACAGGATGCATGTGGCCAAGTGGTGGCTTCTTACAACACAATGCTTCAGGCATGTGAGAATATTTGTAAGGCCTGGCTGGATTCGCTGCCTTCAGAAGCTTTGAAGCTAGCCCCAAAGGTTGAAAAGAAGGAAATTGAAGAGGGAGATGACTACGTCAAGCCAGAGGTGCCAGATGCAGTTGAGCAAAAGCATCAGCATTTTCTTCAGTTGGTAAAGAATGCAGAGCCACAGATTCGGCTTTGCAACGGTGACTTGGAGCTGATTTCCCTTGTGATGTTGGAGTTCTACCAGCACTTGCTGTCATCTGCCTCATCACCTGCATGGCTGGTGGCGTTTGAATCAGAATGCAAGTCTCTGTGGTCAGTGCAGGATGTATTTCAAAAGTCTTTGGTCAGAATCTCAACCGATGTCCTTAGCTACATTAGCCAGAAAGAACGCACCGCTGCCAGAAACCAGGAGAGGAAGCGCAAGGAGGATGAGAGCCGAGCTGCAAAGACGCAAAGAGCACAAGCCAAGGCACATGCAGCAATGGTCAAGCAAGCAAAAGCACATGGACATGCAGTTTTTGGAGTTGATGATAAATTGTTTCAATCCTTTGCAGACCGATCGGTGATGAACAACGTGGATGAGCATCTCACAGAGCCATGGGTGTGGAAAGGTTGCGAGAGCTGCAAGTCGTGGCGCAATCATCCCAATGTCTCTTTGCGGTTGTCTGAATTTGGTGGGAGCTACAAGCAGGCTGCTTCTTTTAAAGCAGATGGGCGCAGCCAGGCTCCAATTCTTCGAAACCAAGGAAAGCAGGAATCAGATATTCTGTGGTCGTCGGTGTTTCCATCCAAAAGCATTTTGGACATCACCAAGATTCCAGAAGGAACTTCTTTCATGCAGAATTGCTGGTGGTTTGGGTATGATCCCAAGAATTCTTGGGCCCACTTTGCTCCAAATGGAGCTGGGATGATTCGGTGCATTGCGTCTGGCCAGATGCGTATCATTTGCTTCCCGGTGGCAGATGTTCAGGAAACTATGCGTGCTAAGGGCATGACGGTGAACTTGGACGAGCTGACCCAGTTTGTGTTGTCCCTCACCAAGGAGGATCCATTGGTTGGCAAGGGATATGCTGTGAACGTTTCCCAGGATGATGTCGTTTACATACCGCCAGGGATGATACTATGTGAAAAGAGTTCTTCTTCGGCTCTTCTTTATGGTGGCCGCAAATCCTATATCTTGAAAAATGAAGACTGCATGCAATCCTACCAAGGTTGCATTGACATGCTGAAAGCGTCCAGCCGTGATCCTAGCAAAATGGAATCAGTAGTTGAGCTGTACAAAACTGTGACGTCCATGCCTCCTCCCCCAGTTCCTCAAAAGGCACAAGCGGAAAAAGTGTTGGAGCCGGGAGACTTGAATTCAAAGAAGGTGACCGAGGATGAGGATGGGAGCTCAAAGGAGATTCACGTTGAAGTTGGGACTGGGACCAATGCCAGAGCAGGACAAGAAGATGGCAAACCCTAGAGGCAGTTTTTAGGTTCCAGGGAAAGCCTTGGACCATTTGTGTAGGACGGTGGTATTCTTTGGAGACTGTGATAAATATATCATTAGTCGAGTGGATTCTTTTTTACCACCGGTTTTGAGCGAGATTGCGAGCCCATCGTGCTTCGCCTGGACTTCGCCTGGCCTGGCACTAGCACCTGAGGCCTGAGACGAATCTGAGAATCTTGCCTGGGAAAAAGGAAAAAGCATTGAAAAAGCAGGCAACAGGCAACAGTAGTGTCAGCTTTGTAAGGCTTTGTGTTTGTGTTAAGTACTACCTACTACCAACGCCGCGGCCTTGCCGCGCGCTGCTATCAGCTGTTGTTGTTTGAATTTGCTGAACGATGTCGCATGTCTTTTGTCAAATGCACTGGGACACATGAATTCGCTTGCACTCATGGCCACGGTTTGGTTCAAAGTTTAGTGTGATTACCTGTTTTTCTCATGCAAGCAATGTAATCAGTGGATAAAATGTGAATTTGAACAGAGCACAGGTAGGTCAGATAGGTCGCTGTGAGTTGGCGCATTTTGTGTTATTATTTTGTTTCCTTTTTGCGCCTCGGATGCGCTCGCAGTCATGCCTGCACCATGGCCCCGAAAATCGCGGATCACGCGGATCGCGGATCTTGATCTCCCTGCTGGTTTGGAACACTCAACATCATGCCAGCCTGAGCCTGTGAACCAACAAGGTCACAAGAACCTTGGGCCCAAGACCCCAGAGGAATTTGCAATGTGGCCAAGAACAATAGTCAAGAGAGTCTTTGAGCGAGGTGACGGCAATGATGCACTTCGGTTGGCTCGATTCAAGTCTTTAGTGGCTGGTGGCCTTCATGTTTATTCAGATTATTCTGGTATGGCTGGCGAGTTTGAAGCTCTTTTCCAGCTGGGTGAAGCTTTGGCCTCCAGAGTTGAATTCGAAGTCAGCCATCGACGTTTCTGTGATATCAGCAAACTGGCGCAAGGAATTTTGAAAGAAATTTCCTCAATGGAATTCAATGAGCCTTGCGTGATGAGTGACATAAATAGCCGCTTGCCAGAGCATGCCTTGAGGTGGTTGAATGCTGCAGAGCCAGCTGGAGAAGACAGCGCTGAAGCTGCTGCAAGCAGCTATGGCTCCATGGACATGTATTTGAAGCAGAACAGAAAGTCAATCTTTGCAGATGCAACGCATGAGCAGCTTCTCCTGCGCCTCCAGCCACAGCAGAGTGGCACGGTCGCTGCGGGCTCGTCACGGGTGCCAGGCAGGAGAGAAAATTAACGTGGCATGGCCCACGTTTGTTGCAGAAGAATTTGAAAAGAAAAATACAAAAGAAAAAGAAAAAGAACAAAAGTCAAAAAAGGAAGACAAAAAGAACCAATTCAAGAATTTGAATGTGCATTGCACGAAGAGAGCGATTTTTCAAATCGCCAAAAAAGACAAGAGCCATAAGGCCAATCCTAGGATGATGGCTGGCTGGCTGCTGATGCTTTGCTGGTCTGTGCCTTGCTGTGCTGCATTTGACACCAACAAGGACCTGGCCGCCAACCATGACGTCAATTACACCGGCCGCCCTGGATTGATTGTGGAAAATGCCACAACTCAGTCTAACGGCCCCCCAGAGATGACCCGCAACGGGAAAAAATGGCAGCTGACAATCGATGTGCCTCGCAGCGGGCGGCAGATTGCAGATGCGCTGAGCGAATATGGCTCCGTGGATGTGGAAGCTGGTTTCAGACTTTTGACGGAAGTAAGTGCAACTACTTTCGATATCCACCCCTACGGTTCTGGTTCTGACCCCTCAAAACGTAAATTCCCTGGGATCCTCAATGTGATTTTGGATTTGGTCGCTAGGTGTCACCATGGGAAGTTTGGATTTTACCCTCTGAATTTTGTTTCCTCCAAAATGTGGAATTTGGGTTTGGAATGGTGGAAAATTGGGTTTCGCCCCTGGGAATCTTTTCCCCTCGAAATGTGGAATTTTGAGATGGGATGGTTTGATGAAAAAATTCATTGGTCACCCTTTCTTATCTGGTTTTGTTTGGGCACCATGGGAGAAATTTGCGGCTGGTTGCTTAGGTACGGTGTCACTAAGCAATTTGTGCTTGCATGTCTCAAACGGGCTCAAGACAAACGCAAACGAAAACGAATCATCAAACGCTTGAAAAACAAACGCTCAGTGAAAAAATGCAGTGATCTCAAACGCTGTCAGAAGTTGTTGAAACCACATGTTGCATGTGCTGCTAGAAAATGCAGCACGCACAGACTCGGAAAAGCACGCCTGAAACACAGACGATGTGCTTTGAAGCTTCGGATGAGATGGACATATGTTCGAACCAATGGCATGGATGTTTCCCTGTCATACTCTTTCCTCTATTCGGGTTTTCCGAGACCCGAAGAATGGCCACTTGGATATGATGCACTGAGCTGGTACAAGCCTGATGCGAACAATTGCATTTTTGCCTCTGAGTGGTTGCAAGGTGGATATAAACGAAGGACGCAAAGGAAAAAGAATTACAGTGACAATGACAACGCCGCGGTTAGGAGTTTGATCCAAGGTTTGAAGGTATGTCTTAACCAAGGTTCTTTTCCGAAAGAGTTTGAATCCGTGATGTCCTTGTTAGGTCAAGTGGTCGGTCAAAATTCACCCAAAAAGATGTTTAAGAAAAAGAAAACGGTGAAACAGGAGCCCAAACCTGACCCGTCTAGACAAGAGCAGCTGCGGGACAACAAAGATGAAGACTACACCATTCTTGAGACAGGATGGTGGAAAATGAATGGTGCGTGGAAACAGTATTGCAGAGACCCACAAACAGGATGGTGGTGGTGGGACAAGCGTGGTGACAAAGTTACCACAGTGGACCACAACCCCAGACATAATGAAAAGAAACAAGACACTGAGGTTCACAAACCTCAACAGAATACTCCAAACCTTGCCAAGGTGCGAGCTCTCAACCCAGTTGAATGGAACAAGCCAATCAAACTTGTGGATGCGCAAACAGTTTGCCAGGCCATTAAGGAAGGAAAAGACTGGGATGGAAATATTTGCTGCAGTCATGACAGACAGGTCACCCAAGAACTTCGTGACTTGTACACAAGCTTTGGTTTCACGAAAGGACTCACTTTGGTTTTGTCAGCTGATGCAATGAATCAGCTTGGCATCACACTGAGCAGGACCAGGCTTCAAAGGACAAACCAACATGCCAAGGTCGAAGACATTGCCTTGCTCGGTTTAGGCTCTGACTACCCTTGGAGAACTCACCCTGTTAAAGTTGATCCCAACAATGTTACTACGGTTGAAAGGGAATTGGTCAGAATTGTCGTTCCCTCTCACTATAGAGAACTCTTTGTATCTGAACCCCAAAAGGAACGTGTCGTTGATGTCATTTCTGACTTGGCCACTTTTGGATGTCGTGCACATGTCCTCACAGGTGGCAGGTGGGAAAGACAGGAATGGCAGAAACAAAGTTCAAGTTTGGTAGGATGGCTTAAGCTCACCAAAAAAGATGCGGAAACCCTCCTGGAAAAATCAGGGAAAAAAGGTATTTTTATCAATAAGAATATTGATACCTCTAAGGAACGTCCGCATTTTGTGTGGACCAAACACGAAAAAGATGAAACCGATGAAGCATACTACCAGAGATGCCTTCGTCTTTCAGGCGAGAGAGGCCAGCCGATGTGCTTACGGAAAGGGTTGGGAAATGACATTGGTTTCACAAAGAAATCAGATGAAGACATCGAAAAGAAACCCAAACGAATTCAGATTTCTGGAGTTCCCAGGGACTGGATGGCGGAAGAACTGGTTGATTTCCTCAAACAACAAGGATGGACCCAAATGACTATTCACAATAGAAGAAGGGTCAACAAGAAAATTTTTTGGAACGCCTGTGGAATGCCTCCTGTTGCATACCCATACGACCAGGGTCTTTGGGTGTATGAAGGTGCCACTGTGTTTACCATAATAGTCAACGACTCGGTCCATAAACCTGCAGCGCCAAACAGCACCACTGCAGTCAGAGGACCAAGGAAGACATGGGATGAAATTAAGGATCAGCCTCCACAGACGGCCAACACGCGGGGGCGCCCCGCGAAGAGGCAGGCCAAAGAACCCGATGAGCGACATCGGTCCAGATCTGCCGCTGAGAAGCCCGAAAAGGGCGATGAAAATAAGGACCCAATGGAAGTCGAAAAAACGCAGTTGGACTCTCAGACTCAGCCTGAAGCGATTGACAAGCAGAGTTCAAAGCCAACCTCGCAGTCTCTTGGTAATTTGACGGATGCCTTAACCCAACACTGGACGCTGGCCGATCAAGGTGGATGCGGTGACTGTGGGTACCGGGCATTAATAGACAACTTTCATTATCAAACCACTGGTGAGACTCTTTCCAAAGAAGAATGCATCAAAAATGCCAATCTATTTCGTACGGAAGTGGTACGACATGTTCGCAAACATCAAGATAGGTACGAAAACCATGTCAGAGGTGGGAAAGAGGCCTTTCCTGCCTTTTGTGACAATGCGTTGAAGCAAACTCACTGGATATGTGGACTGCTGCTGCAAGCAGCAGCAGAGGTGAAATCATGCTGCATAGTGGTGTGGAATCAAAAAGATGAAGTTCTGGAAAGATTCACTTTCGCTCCTGAGTGGAGTCCACAGGGGATGCCCAGAATGAAAAAAGAAGCACCAATCCTGGTGGTGTACAGAAACGACAAACATTATCAATCCGTCCGACCACCCCAGGATCAGGACGGCATGACTAAGGTGCCCAAACACTGGGCGCGAGAGACAGCCAAACCCGAGGCCGAAGCACTTGGAGGCGCTGGACCAAGCGTTGGAGAATCGCCTAAAACCCTGCACACGCTCTCCCCTGGCTCTTCCCATGCTCCTTCGCTCCATACTCTCCCCGCCTCCTCCTTTCGCGGATCCTCGGGTGGGGGTGTGATGATCACGCGCGCGCCGTCCCTGCACTCCTTGGTTCCTTCCGCGTCTTCTCCTCCGCGTCTGCGCGCGGTTGTGCACGGCCATGCGGCGGGTGGTGGTTCTTCGGGTGCCCTTGCGCGACCCCATCCTCCGCGCTCCCCCTCTCTTCTTACCTTGGCTGCCTCCCCTCACTCCTGCGAACCTCCGCGTGCTGCCATCAAATCCCAGCAGTTGCAGCATCCGAGTGAAACGGTTGCAAGACCATTCAAAAGATGCAGGTTCAAGCAAAGCAGTTGTGACTCAAGGATTGAAGACATGAAGTTTCTTGCACCCTCTGAGAACGATAAAGCTTCGGTTTTATCTTTAACCTCAGAAACTCACCTCAATTTGACAGACAACCTGACCAAGGACCGGTCGGGTACTAAGGACAAAGGCGCAGTCAAAAATGACAACACAGAATGCGACTTTCGCCCTGACACTGCTCCATATCCTCGACACCTCAAGCGGCTGGATGCTAAGACGCTTGCCAAACCGCAAGGACCTCAGGTATGGGTTTGTCCGCTGCCTGACTGCCGGCATGAAATCAGAATTCCTGCAGGTTTGCAAGCGAGAGCCAAGCTTCAAGCTGCAAAAAGTTCACACCTGAAAAATAGACATACAGATTCCGAAAGAGCTGAATGCCCGCGACTCGGTGCTCAAACTCAGATCACAGTCCCGACCTCGGAACTTCCTGAAAGTGGCAGAGCCTGGAGTTGCCCAGAATGCGGGAAAGGACTCCCACTGTTGCCAAAAGTTTGGCACGAAGCTAGTGTCCGCAAACATTTTGCCGAGGCACACCCTGACACAAATCCAACTCAGGCGTACAGGAAGAAACAAAGAACTGACAAAGGCCTTCGAGCTCGTATGAAACTGCGAGGCAGACATATAGGTCAGCTCAAACAACAGAAGGTCGCTGACAACCTGAAAGTTTGGGCTCCGCAAACGGGGCATGATGTTCGCCAAATTCTTCTCAAACATAACCCCAAAGAAGAGAGACGCAAACTTGATTTGACGTCCGTGCTTGTTTGTGCCAAATGCAGACGAAAAGGGACACCATGTAGATTCAAAACCACCGCATGCACTGATGAAAATCAACCTATCCCGACTCAATTACTGGGTTGGATCCGAAACATGGCTTTGCGACACCCTGCGAACCAAGGTGCCATCAGAAACGGACTTGGTATGACTGAAGCCGAGGTTGCAAATGCAAACTTCCAAACCAAAAAAAGAGTCAACGGTAAAGGGCCAGCCAAGTGGCTTAGCGGTCCGTTTGCCACCACTTTTCAGGCGGCGCAAGCTGCAGGGCACTTAGTTACTGAGGTCCTTCCGCCGGATGCCATGCGCCACCCGGACTCCACTGCTAAAAAGTTTCCCAAGGGATACCTGACCTGTAAAATTTGCCACAAGGTTAATCCACTTGGTGCTGTCAAAATCTGGACGAATCCATGCCTGGGACATGATCCCACCTCCAAAGGTTTCCAGTCTCAGAAAAGATATTGGCAGTCTTTAACTAAAACCCAAAAAAAAGCCCTCAGTCAAGCATGGGGGAAGACTCTGCAGCAGGGGGAGGAGCTTTTTGCCTCCCAATCCTCCAACAAGCGCAGCCGTAGAGCCAAAGAACATGACCATAATGATAAGGTTGCTGTGAGAATTGGTGAAGCGTCCCATCCAGGACCAAGATCACGAAAATTGCGCAACTTGGATCAACATGTGTCAGTTTGGACATGCAACACTCAAGGACCCAAACAATCGTGGACCTTACAACAGCTGCTCCAAACCCAGGAGCAGGCACCTCAGATTGTGCTGCTTCAGGAATGCTCTTTTAGCCAGGCTGAATGGACCACATTTCAAAAAACTTGTTGGTCTGTGGGGTACAGAAGTTTTTTCTCCGGTGCGCAAAGCACCGTCAATCGACACTACGGAGGAGCTGCAGTCTTGGTTAAATCTTCACTACCTTGTAGACCGGCCTGGTCACACACTCACAAAGGAGGTAGTGCCCAAGCTGTGTGGGTGGGATCAACTCTGGTCATCTCCACTTACCTGGCTCCTAACAGTGATGCAGAAACCGTGAGTGCAGCTGTGGCTCAAACTGTCCACTCTCTCGCTCCAAGACATCGTTTTATTTTGGGGGGGGATTACAATGCCACACCCGAAGAGAATCCCTTTCTTCATTTCTTGATTCCTAGGGAATTTCGTATTCATGCCACTCAAACCCCAACGCGGTGGCAAGGAAACCGCGATATTGACTACTATATCAGTAACCTTGAGCCCACTGAGGTCGAAACGCTTCCTGATGTTGTAGCCGACCACAAAATTGTCAAAACTTTTTTCGATTTATCTACCGAACCTGTTTTAGGTTTCCAACAAGCCAACATTCCTAGAATCCTCCCGAAGGACCCGGAAGTTGCTGAACGAATCCAAATCAAATTGGCTCAGCTCTGGCCGCAGTTTTCCACACAACTTCCAGAGCGATGGTCAGTCAATGTTGACCAGGACTGGCAGATGCTTTCGCAAACTTTTTTTCAAGCCCTAGTTTGTGCAGTCAGGGCTGCTGCCCCTGACATGCTGCAGCGAGTGTCTCCGGCCTTACTGAGGAAAGGAAAGGCCACTGAGGTCTCTCTTAAACAGAAAGAACACATGAAACGACATCCTGCTGGAGCTATGGCTACTCACCGCCAAAGAGTTCTGCGCAGATTGATTGGAAGGTTGCGGGAAGCCCAGCGAAACTTGGATCAAGACAGGCAAAATATCACTGAAAGCCGAGTTCTCTGGAATAAAATCAGACGGTGTTCTATGTACAACCATGATTGGGGTATACAAAGAACCTTCGGCATCTTGAAACGCTTTTGGAACGGTTCAATCATGAAGATGACTACACCAGACTTCAACGATGGAGAAACAACATGGAACATGACAAGGCTGCATACAGGTGGCTGCGACATAGATCTGTTCCCATGTGCAATGCGGTTAAGAAAACCAAAGACTCTGTTCCTAGTCACTCCACCCAAGACAGCCTGAGGATTCTCAGGGAATTTTGGGCCGATATTTGGAATAGACGTCAAATCTCTTGGGATGATATTTGGGATGATTTGGTTACTCACACTCCACCACGCCCTGCTCCTGACAGCTGGCCAAGCCTCACACCGGAACAACTCCGTTCTGCCACCAAGTGTAGCCGCGGCAGTGCGCCGGGGCTTGACGGCTGGAGAGCTGAGGAACTTAGTTTGTTCAGTGACGAAATGTGGCAGGTCATGTCCGGGTTCTATGATCATTGTGAAGAGCTCGGAAACATTCCTACCATATGGCGATGTGTTCGCCAAGTGCATATCCCGAAAGGGAAACCACCTGAAGCTGACGGCAGCATGCTGGCGGACAACATGCGTCCCATAGCTGTGATGTCGATAATCTGGCGAATCTGCAGCCGAGCCAGATTCAAACAAACTGAGGTTCAGGAATGGATCCACACATCCACCCCCGAATTCATGTTTGGGGGAATTCCCCAAAAAGGTGTTGAGGATGCTATCTCTCACATAATCCTCAAAGACATGCATAGCTGGCCGGTTGGTACACTTGACCTGACAAAAGCTTTCGATTATTCTGACCCTGAGATAGTCTGCAAACTCTTTGTCCACCAAGGTATGCCGCGCAAAGCTGCACGCATGTTGTTAAGCATGTGGAGCGAACAAATCCGTTTTCTTCAGCTCCATGACGAATTTTTCCCAAACAACCATGTTGTCAAGCGCTCCCTGCCGCAAGGTGACTGCTTTAGCATGTTAGGCATGTGTGTTTTGCTTACTCCCATTGCCAATCACATTCAGAGAAAATACCCTTGTTGCGTTCAAGCTTTATATGCCGATGATCGTTCTTTCACTTGTTCCACTGCGACTGAAATATGGCAAGTTCGAAATGAATGGCATGTTTGGAGCAATAAGGTTGGTCTTCAAGAAAACCCCACCAAAGAGCAATATTACCACCGCAACGTTCAAGGTTGCCGATCTCTCGAGGATGCCGGCTGTCCTCCAGAAACAGTTTCCACTTCCATCACCTTGTTGGGATTCCAGTTCATGGGAGTGACCCAAAGAAAAGCCAAAGACCGAGAACTGACAAGACTCACTGAGGCCAAAGAAGTTCTTCGAAAATGTAGGTGCCTCCCAGGTTCCAAAACACGTAAAGCTGCAGTTGCCAGGGTTTGTGCCCCAGCAAAAGCAAGTTGGGGATGGCTGTTTCGAAGACCCACTCATGCTGAAAGCAACGCTTTCTTTCAGGGAGCAAAAGCGCTGCATCAGTGGCCAAAGCAGTCAGCCGTACCTTTACTCCAAATTTTTACTGGCCATTGGTGGGACTTAGGTTTTGCTGCCACGGTTACGACTCTCCGAGTCCTCACCCGCTATGTTCACAAAACACAGATGCAGTTGCAAAACTGGCCACCCAAAATGAGTGGCTGGACGGGTAGCTTTAGAAAAGGCATGCAAGAACTTGGGTTCGCTGAGGCTGGTAGTTGGACCTGGACGCACCCGATGCTTGAAACTATTCAGATTCAACCAACCACGCTGCCTGAAAAGGCGACCGAAGTGCTGTCACATAGGCTCAGAGATGCTTGGCGAATCAGAAAATATGAGGAATTCTTGGAACTTGACCGACGCGACTCAACGGTTTGTACAGACATTCCATGTGACCTGACCCGCATTAATATTCTGCGCAAGAAAAAACTCAACAGTCACGAACTGGCTGTTGTAACTGGTGCTTTCATTTCACCTCAATGTCGAAATGCCATGGGAGGTGCTGAAGAAACATGCCCTTATTGCCAACATGTTTGTGCCACTGTGCAGCACATGCTTTGGGAATGTACTCAGAACCCACACCGTGATCCTACTATTAGACCCCACGATGTGCTGCAGGAAAGACTCGCATGGCCCACTACTGATCCTACTAAGGTGGACCATGACAACAAACTTCTAAGGTTTGCAGCTGCAACACGTGCTGATGTGTTGCTGCAGCGCCACGACGACTAGAACCACCTCCATTCTATTCTGGCGATCGCCTCTGGCCTGCGCTGCGGCTGCGGGCAAGTGCGGGCAGCGTCATTGTCTACATCATCATCATCAGATGCAACGCATGATTGGTGCATTGTGCATAATCGCCGTTGCGAACTTTTTCCTCAAGTTTGCGGTCTCTATGATGATGAATGTGATGATGGTTTCAAGCAGCCTCTGGTCATCAACTTCGCCGGAACAACCTGTAAAGGTTGGTCTGCGGTGGGAAAAGGTCGATGCTTCAGCGATCCATCAGAAAGGCCACACAGCATTTGGACCAATGAAAGGGGATTCCGCGCATCAGAGACGGTGCAGTCGCAAGAAACCATGTTTTTTTCGGAATGCACACCAAGATATCCGGTGAAGGTGCGGTGCAGTTTCAAAGTTCAAAGTTCAGACTTCAGACTTCAGACGTTGTTGACTTGACAGTTGAGTTGAGTTGAGAGAGTTGAGACTCGAGACATTGATTTTGTTCAAGTTTCAAGTGATTAAAGTGTTTGATTTGATTTGTTGTAGAATAGATTCAGTAGATTCAGGATTCAGGATTCATATTTGGTTTGTAATATATCTATACAGTATACAGTGTACACTGTACAGATACATATCTATATTATATTTATTAGTAAATTAATTATATATGTGTATGAGTAGTATAAGGCTATAAGGTTAGTAGTAGTAGTTAGTAGTCATCAGTCATCGCATTGGGTTCGTTATCGTAACAGTGGGTCGAAATTCCTCCCCGGCCAGGAGAAATTGACCAGTCCATTGGAGGACACGCATCAAGTCCTTTCACTGATACTCTCGCCATCCATGCTGGGCTGGCCCGTTCGCCGAACGCGAATGTTTTCGGCAGGGTTGAACCGGAACAAAATCGCATGGCTTGGACCAGAATCATCTGAAGATTTACTGGAAGACTTTATGTCTTTTTTTGCCGCTTCAGTAGAAGTTGATGGAGGCGTTTTCTTGATATCTTCAGAGGAAGATGTGTTAGCAGAAGAGAAGAGAATGGCCCGGTGCCGTGGGCATAATTTTTTTCTGAGGTGACCAAATTGGAGAAGCACCAGTATCTTGCCCCTGGACAGCTTGTGCGCCTTGAAGAATACAAAAGAATGTATTCAAATCTCCAGGGTGAATGCGCTACAAAAAGTTTTTTCGCTGATTTGGACCAAAATGTGAAAGGCGCTGGCGGCGCCAGCACAGCTGGCAGCATGATACCAAGTCTTTTGACGCATACAGCTTTGTATGCCTGTCATTCCGATGCTGACAGACTGGTGACGCCAGAAGAACTATATTTTGCTCATGGCTACAATTGCATCAAGTTGCCGAAGGACTCAGCTGCGAGATCTTGTCGAATCAAAGGATGCTTGAAAAAGCTTACCGCACCGCAGCAAATCCAACTCCTAGGGAATGGATGGCATTTGGCAGTGCTCTCAAGTTGGGTGACATACATTTTGTCACACTGCGTGTTCCTCAACCGGACTATGTCTTTCCAGCCGGAGAAGAGTTTGCTTCGAAGGGGTGGTTCGCAGCTGTGCGAGCTTGAAACGCCGGAGAAGAAACGCAAGACAGAGAATGATGATGATGCTGCAAGTAAGGTGACTGTGACGTTGCCGTTGCCGGACTAACTGGCCGGCCTTGCGCATTTCTGCAGCATTCGTGACATCAGCTGGACAGGAAAAAGCTTGCCTATTAGTGCTGCTGCAGTTGGCAGAAAGTAAGTTTCAGTCTAAATTTTCCATTTTGTCAAAGCCGGTAGAGCAGTTGTGCGGTCTGACCGCCGACTGAAACTTAGGTACCGAGGTATTGTTACACTGTTTCTGTGGTGAAGAAGTTCGTTGAGGAGGGTAACCATTATGCAGTTGTGCGGTCTGACCGCCGACTAAAGCAAAGTACGAACGGAGCTACACGTAGCCGCCGTAGCCGTAGCCGCTTGCAGAGTCACGGAGTTTGGATTTTCAGCATGTATTCAAACGCATTGCTGCTATTTTTCAATCAAAAACACAGTCGAGAGTCGAGAGTACAGGTTGTTACACAAAAAGCTTTTGAATGCAACAATTGCAACAAACAAACATATACGACATCGCAACTGTTGAAGCTGGTGGCACGGACTCTCGAGCCGAGCCCAATGATGCCTGCAATAGCATGTGGATTTCTTCTGGTGATTGCAGTGGTGGCGCACATGGTGCCATCAAGAGAACCAGAACCGGAAGATATAGATGAGGAAAACCAGATGGAGCCATCAGCAGAGCCCCAGAGTTCCAGGTATGAATCCAACGCGAGATCTCTAGGATTGAAGTTTCCTGGAGTATTTGCAGATGCTATGTTTCGAGCTGAGGGTATGTTGCCTTGGTTGTATTTCAGATGCCAAGCGAGAGTGCAGCGCGGCAAAGATGTCATGGTGAATGCTCAGCGAATGAATGAGCTTGCTGACCTGATCCATATGTTCATGGATCGACCCAACAGTGTTCAACGCGGCCACATGAATGAAAGCCTGATCGCATTGAGCGACCTTACAGATGACGAAGAATCCCCACGCTTTCAATTCAGTGAACAGCAGGTGAAAGATGACATTGGTGAAGCATTCCAAGGATATCAAGTTGGAATGGGATTGTTTGGACATCTACGACACGACTTACGACGTCCTACACTTCGTACAGCTGATGATGATGAAGTTGAAGATACAGCGGAAAATGAAGAACAACGATACCATAGGTATTGCCGATCAACCTTGTCAGAAGTGTCAGATCCAGACACTTGGATGGAAGTTCATCACGAAGCAGAGGATGAGCGACACTACATGCTGAGTGAGCGCCATGAAGTGTCAGATGGAGACGGAGAACTATGGGATGAACAACAAAGTGAAATGATGCGAGAGAATGATGAAATTGCCAGAGGTGAATTTGCAGATGAGAACGAATTTTGAAAAATGAGCTGTCGCAACAGGTTAACATGATCCTGCTGGACAGAAGCTACAATAGTGAGCTGCAATGCTTGCCAAGCTGAGAGGGATAGAGCATATGGTTTATTGACACCACGTCAAAAGACCGTTTTAATGTTCAATGGTGACAAGCTGTTGCTTTACCAGTTAGTTTCCACGGTCTATTTGCACTTGGGACTTTGATGAAGTCCTGGTGGAACCAGTTTGTGTTTTCTGTGTTTGTTTCATGACGTAGGTAGAAACATTTACAGTTTGACGCAAGGAGTAAATGACTCTTGGATCAAAGGCGGGGTACGGAAATGTTTCCATGCCACTTTAAACCAGTTTAGACAGTTGCGTGTAGGAGTTAAAAACTACTCCAAACACTAAAAGCAGTGCAACCAAATCTCACGAAAATTTACGAAAATTACGAAAAATACGAAATTACGAAGAACAATGAGCATTATCTTATCAAACAAGTAAAAATAAAATTTGCAAAAAGATCAAGAATAATACTTATTGTTTTACGTGTTACGAAAATTTCGAAAATTACGAAAATTACGTAAAATACAAAAAATACGAGAGTTAAGAAAATTAGGAAACTTATTAAATATACTTTATCAAAATTTCGAATATTTCGAAATAACAAATGTATTTTCAAAAATGTAGTGAAAAACACGTATGAAAAAAACATACTTTAAAAACATAGAAAAGAGCAAAAAGTACAGCAAAGACATTACTTTCAATTGTTAACCATAGAAAAGTATGAGAAATTATGCACAACATATGGTGTAAAGGAAGAAGCAAAAGTTCAAGAAGTAAATGAAAAAAAGTAAACATAAGCAATGAACCGTGTGGATTTTTGATAGATTATGTTCGTGTATATTTTGGGTATAGAGGGGAACAACCTAAGATCCTTGTAGGAAAGTTACCAGGTTTAGGTGTATCCTATTTTCAGACACAGCCAAATAGGTTTGTTAGAACACAGGGTGCCACTGCATCCGCATGGTTTACTATGGTTTACTATACCATCATGTTCACCATTGAAATTGCCTTTTGAGGGGGTATAGCGGTATAGCCCATTTTCCAACGCAGCCATATGATTCGTCTCTAGATACCCTCTGGTAAACGTTTACATAACTATGGACAATTACCATGTTTCCATGGGGAAAACTCACGAACTAAATGGTGATGTTCCATAGTTTTTTGTATGTTTACCAGAGACTTCGTTTACCCTTTATGTTTTTTAGAGACCAGACTAATTAGGTCGTTTTTTGTCGGTGGATCAAACCAGCAATGGTGGTTGCTTGAAGATGCTATTTCACTGGGAAAGATGATGATGACTGGTTGGTGGTTTGGAACATTTTTCTATTTTCCCCAATAGTTGGAATGATGATCCAATCTGACTAATATTTTTCCGGGGGTCGAAATCACCAACCAGATGAAGAGTTTTGGCTCAACATGACAAATCCGTATATATACTAATGTGTACATATATATATGTGTGTGTGTGTGCGATTCCAAGCATACCATCCTAAATGTCTTAAAACACCGGTGTCGATATATACACATGCATGGGAAAGTGAGAATGACTGATCGACCAACAATAAGTACTGATTTCAACAATTAATAATCAATTTTGACCGGCAAAGCCCCGGAGTTATGTATGTTTTACTTTTCAATGAGCTAGCAGTGGAAGGGGACTGATAAAACATGTGCAAGGGACAAAAAGATTTGCGACGGAAACGGTCCCTGAAACAAGCACGCTTGGAAGAGAGGACAAAGATACATGGAGGACACATCTTTTTTTGACCGATCTTGGCCTTGGCGATGTTTTGGTTCAATGATCCTATTTGTGCAGACATGGTGCCTAACGTTCTGACCGGTATGTGGGTGCAATCCCCTTGGGTATAATTTTCATGAAATGTTTGGTTTGATGTCTAGCTATGTTGATGGATTTGTGTTTAATGATACTGCAGGTGTAAGAGTAACGAAACCCTCCCCATGTTTCTTCTATCAAACACGCGGTTATTATTGGCTGCAATAGCATAGACATGTGTACAATCTATATAATTATGTGTATGTATATATATATATACATATATATTCAAATATTTTCCATATATTAGGTGGTGTACATATATATATGATATTACATATATACAGGTATGTAATATATATATATACATACATATATGTATATATACATATATGTATATATACATATGTATATATATATATATATTTATAAATGTTGATATTTGATAGCATTGTATATATGTACACAAAATCATCCCATATTCGCATGTTTGATCATTCATGATTTGTTGACACGTCTCAAGAAACACTGCGAAATCCTCACAAGGGGATGCTCGTCGAGCCAGCCGAAAATCCTATGCTGACGTGGAAGATGGTTGCTTTGCTGACGCATCTGGATGGTTACATTTTGTTTTTTAACATAGCTACGGAAAATGACCCATGTAGGTCGATGATTTATGATGATCTACCTATAAAGATATGGTGATTTTCCAGTTCGCTACGTTAAACATTGTTCAATGACCGAGAGTAAGTCACAATGAATCAATTCTGTGGTCCACCGGGACTGATGCTTGCTGGCCTATAAGCACCATCAGCACGATATATTAACCATTTCCCTATTGGAGTTATAATGAGTTTTAAATCGATTGAATTTGTGAAGTTACCCTGTGAGAAACTGAGAAACTATATAACACAGATGTGGAAACCTGCAGTTTCTCTTTCAGATAATGATTTGCATTCATGGTGGCATTTCCACGTCTATGTTAATTTACAGGAGGGTAAATAATCAAACCAACAAGCGATTCTATTACGTAGCCAAAATCCGGCATTGAAGAGCTTACTATCTTGTGGTCATGAGGATGTTGGTTATTTTTTGTTCCATTTCTATCCACTTCTGGGGTTAAGCATCGCTCAAACTGTAGTGAAGTGTAATAGCTGCGGCAACCGAATTTGGGTGATGTTGATAGACAAAATCTGAAGAACCTCGTTGAAGCAACTACCTAGACCCTCAATTTACCACTTAAACACTGATATAAAATGTGATAATGTGGTTAAAACAATAAGAACCATCCCCCAAATCACAATAAATGATTGTTATAAACCATCAAAAAATGGGGTGGTTTATTATTGTTTTACCGTGTTTTATCCACATTACAAACTGATCATTTTAGTACTTGAAGCACGAATAATTTGACGCGCTCCCCCTTGATCTCGGCAGGAATCGGTGGATTATAAGTATACCACATCATGGGCCATAAATATCACACGTGTTTTTGTTTTACTAGTATGTTTTACATATTTAGGTATGTGTTTATTCAATTGTTGATTGAGTTATTAGTGTCCCTATCATTAACCAAAAATCCAGTCCATTGGTTTTATTCCCATCAAATCTCTTTTTTTGTTGGTCAGTTGTGGTCATATATACACATATCATTTTTTATATATGTAATATATTACTATATATGTTTTAGACAATATATCATATATACCTACATGTTTATCATTCTTTATCTAGACCCATATATACATTTATGATCTATCTATCTGTCCATTATGTATATATATATATATATATATTGCATCCAACAATCTTGGACTCCAGCGCTGCAACCTTCGCCACGCTCCGTTGCGGAAAACCACTCAGGCGACCTTGGCCGCTCCGTCATGCGCAAGTCCGAGGTTGACCTTGGTCGTGACGAAGAAGGAGGAGTTCAGAACCCCTGTTGGTTGATGATTATACAGGATGGGCCCCCCCAGTTATAAGTTGGTTTATAAACCATGAAATAATCCCCATGAATACTATAGTTATATCTACCATAACCATAGTTAAACCAGGTACCGGCGCTGATAGCGGACCCGGTGTTTTTTATGATTTTGATTTCAACCATTCTTCATTGATTTGTTTAAAACTGTGGCGCCGTGACGATTTTGTTGTTTTGCTTTCAATTAGAAATGGTGTTTTCGTCCCGCGTTACGCTAGGAATTTATTCATTGATGATTGAGTTCTATTGGGCTAAATAATTTGCAAATGTGGGTTTGGAAAACAGAATGAAAGACGGCGTTTCGTCCTCTTCTTTTTCTCTCTTCATGGGTTCAGCGTCTGCGTTTGTTAACCTTAGCTGCCAGTTTGGAGAGACTTCCTTTCAAGTCTGCCTTGTGGCCCCAACGATAGGCAATGGACCACACATACTGTTGGATTCTTTGAGAATCCTTTTTGGTAACCTTGTCTTTGCTATGGACGGAGAAGGGCACGAAGCGCTTCAGCTGCATCGTGATACACCATCATTTGTCAGGTGTGTTTCAATCCAAGCCACACGCTTTTGATGCTACGCTGTAACATGTCTCTGGTCGCTTGCCACACGCTCATGATGCATGATGCTACGCTGTAACATGTCTCTGGTCACTTGTCACACGTTTTTGATGCTACGCTGTAACATGTCTCTGGTCACTTGTCACACGTCTTTGATGCTACGCTGTAACATGTCTCTGGTCGCTTGCCACACGCTCATGATGCTACGCTGTAACATGTCTCTGGTCACTTGTCACACGTTTTTGATGCTACGCTGTAACATGTCTCTGGTCACTTGTCACACGTCTTTGATGCTGCGCTGTAACTATCTCTTGTCTTTCTATTTTCAGGTGAGCAAAGTAAGACGTGTAATGTTGACATTTGAGAATTGAGAGTTTCACATCATTTTGCTTACAGGACATCGGACCCATGAAAATTCTACCGCTAACACCATGGTTTCCCAAGAGTAGAGGCTGTTATGGCAAGTGACCAGAGACATGTTGCCACGTAGCATCATGAACGTGTGGCAAGTAACCAGAAAACATGTTACAGCGTAGCACCAAAAGCGTGTGACAAGTGACCAGAGACATGTTACAGCGTAGCATCAAAAGCGCGTGGCAAGCGACCAGAGACATGTTACAGCGTAGCATCATGAGCGTGTGGCAAGTGACCAGAAAAC